ATGGCAAAGAAAATAAAAAGCAAGTGCTGGGCTTCAGTCACTGCCACCTTAGCACCGGAGTGCTGGTGGTCCCCTGACCTCCCCGCTTTCTTAACTATTATTTCTGTGTCTGTGTCTTTGTTTCTTTTATCTTTTGCAACACAGTCTGCCAGGGGACCCTATCTTTATTGGGGACATCGCGAATCCCCGATAGGTAGTTCTACAGATTACCAATTATTAGCTTAAAAAGAAGCCTCAAAAAATATATGATAGAGAAATATTTGGTATTATATTAATGAGTACTTTAAAGAAGCTCTATAAAACAAGCCTTAGAAAAATGTGGCATTAGCCTCCTAAAGCAGGGCTGCTTGAAGGTCCTTCCTTGGACTCTCTCCACCAGTATCACCAGATAGTCTTGTTTCATCTGCAGATTTATGAACCACACCCTGCTTGGTGAGTCTGATTCAGTGAGTCTAAGTCAGGGTGGAACCTGGGAAAGTAATATTTTAACAAGCTGCTTGGGTGATTAAATGATGTAAGTCATCCTAACACCACACTTCCAGAGCAGTCCTAGGTTAAAAGCATGACAATAAAGATCTTTTTCATTATCCATGTGTATATAAATAGAGGTTTTTCACTATCCCTAAAATGTTAATGATGCATGAAAGCTTAAAAGAAAAGAAAATGTACTCCTATAAAATAATAATGCAGGGTATAAAAAATTTCTCTAGTATCTACATTTCTGAAGTTAGTTTTATTTGGATTAGAATAAGCATAAATTAAAAGATAAATATAAAGCACATTCCTATGAGATTAAATCCACGTATATAATGAGTTGTTATTCAGAATTTAGAAAGCACAGTAATAGTCAAGTTGAAGACTAGCCCATCTCATTGAATAGTTCCTCCTTGGTTATAAGTTTACATAATATTACCAGTCAGAGCTTAAATCCTTTTGATTCTAAAAGGGTAGGCTCATGTATAGGGTTTTTTAAAGGTATTTGTGGAAACTTTTCTTCCTCCTTGCTTCACTTATCAGAACATGTAAAACATATCTATGGGGCTGTATACATTGTTCATATTGTCATTATTTTAAAGAAGGATATAATTTTTATCTTGAAAAGTGACTAGCCCATTAAATATAGATACAATCTCATTGTTTACACATATACATATACAGACATCTATTATTTACTCATTTATTTTACCTTAAAATTTTTAATTCTTTTTTTTTTTTTTTTTGAGACAAAGTCTCACTCTCTTGCTCTGGCTAGAGTACCAGTGGCATCGCTCACAGGAACCTCAAACTCCTGGGCTCAAACAATCCCCCTGCCTCAACTTCCCAGGTAGCTGGAACTATATCCATGTGCCACTGTGCCTGGCTAATTTTTTGTATTTTTAAATTTTTTCTATTTTTAGTTGTTTGGCTAATTTCTTTCTATTTATAGTAGAGACATGGTCTTGCTCTTGCTCAGGCTAGTCTCAAACTCCTGAGCTCAAGCAGTCCCCCCACCTCGGCCTCTCAGAGTGCTAGGATTACAGACATGAGCCACTGTGTCCAGCCTGAAAAAAAAATTTAACTCTTGAAATAAACAAACCACATCATTTATAGCTTTATCTGAGAAAACAGTATATATTACTTTTCTTTTGTGATGTAAGAAATGAAATAAATATCTTGTGTTTTAAGGTTTTAATTATTATACAAATATTTGTATAGTTGTTTTTAGCTTTGTTATAGGCTTTTGCTTACTTAAAATACTTTCTAGGAATTATTTAAATGATAGTAAATTTATATTTTATTGCTCTCATGTATTAATAAAGTATATTATCTAAATTTTAAGCGTTAGAATATTTAGATTGACCAGGGTTAAATAATTGTTCTTTCAAATGAATCAAAATGGTTGCTCAATAAAAAACCAATACTGTCATATATATAATTTGGAATGTAAAAGCTATTAAAATGTTTCAGACCTCGAGAAAATCTTACATTTGAGACAGTTTTATTTGGGGATTTCATAAAGTCAAACTTCTAGTTTTGCAACATTCTATAATAGGAATGAATCCTCATCCTCATAATGAAGTTGTGTTCTGTGTAAGTAAAGCATTTGCCAAAATTATGACCACGCTTGACAAAAGGACCTATTCTCAAATCAGATTGTGAAGTAGCCACTATGACACTCTAATAAAACAGTAGAGTTACAGTAAAGGAAACAATATCCTTTTTATTGCCTTTTCTTCACAGTTCAGCCCACAGACCAATCTGGATAAATTGAGAACTATGACAAAATTAGTAATGGCTTATAAATGCATAATTGGAAGATTTTTTTATTTGTAACATATTTTAATACTTTGAATGTGAGGCAAAATCAACAGAGAAAATGAAATACATCTAGAAAAAAATAGGTATGATTAATTCATTATTCAGTTCTTCCTTTCTCTTTCTTATTCTCCTTTCTCTTAATGTCTTTATTTGCCTTTTCTTTTCCATGAAGATTCATATTTTTGAGTCTAAAAGGGTTATTACCATCAAAAAGCTATAATTCATAACCTCAGCTAGATTCTTCAAGTTTTTTTTTTATTTTAAGAATAAAAGAACACACTGGTGCTTGCTTTGTTAATATATACACTAAAATTGGAATAGCACAGAAAAGATCAACACAGTCTATGTACAAGAATGGTTCTCACACATGTGAATCATTCCATATTTTTCCAGTCTTAGTTTTAGAAGATATGGGAATATGAAAGGTGGGCAGAAAAGGGGACTAACAGGTACTTAACCTCTACCACTAATAGTTTACTTATTTCATTATACAAAACACAAATGTTAATAAAAGTTAATCTGTGTGTGAATGTAAGTATTGTATGATTCTCTCTACTTTATATTTCAAATCATTAAAAAAATTACAAGTTATTTCATTTCCAGGTTTGTAAGCTAAGAAAATAATCAGAAATGCACACCAACACCTGTGTATAAGGATATTCATTTCAGCTTTATAATAGGAAAAAATTGGAAACAACCTAAAAGTTGAACAATACGGACATGGTTAAATTATAGCAAAGTCACATGAACACTATGTATTATTTGGAAATTTTATTTTCTTTATATTTCCTATTGCTGTTATAATAAATTACCACAAACTTTGTGGCTTAAAATAACACGGATTTATTACCTTACAGGTCTGGAGGTCAGAAGTCTAAAATGGGTCTCTTGGGAAACATCAAGATGTCCACAGAGCTGTGTTTCTTCTGGGGAGAATCGTCTCAATTACCTTTTTCAGCTTTTGGAGGCTACCTGCATTCTTTGGCTTACAGTCCTTTTCTGGCATCATTCCAGCCCTTCGTTTCCATTTTTACAGCTCCCACCCCTGACTCTGATCCTCCTGCCTTCCTCTCACACAGACCCTTGCGATTAGACAGTGTCCACCCAAATAATTCAGAAAAGTTGTTCTATCTCAAGATGCTTAATCACATCTGCAAACCTTTTACCATGTGAAGTAACATATTCACAGGTTCTGTGGACAGTTTTGGGGGACTATTATGTAGCCTATCATGTTTGGTAAGCAACTAAGAACATATGAATATTTAAAGTGCCTACAACAGTGCAGGAAACAAAACAGACAATCGTGATTTGTAAAATGAACGCATGTGTAAGTGCACTTCTTGCTGCTTTCTCAGCTTGAACTAAGCCACTCTAATCTCTCATCGGTATCATTCTAAATGTCTCCTCCCAGGCCTTCCTGCCTCTGGCCTTGCCCCATGTATTCTCAGCACAACAGCAGACTGTGCTTCTTTTCTGCTCAGAATCCTACACCATCTCCTTTTTTACTCAGAGTTAAGCTCAAACACTCTGGGAGGCCCCCAAAGCCCAACATTATATATTTCCTTAATGTTAGCTCTTTAAACAAATATACTCTCTCTGCCCCAGCTACACTGACCCCCTTGCTGTTTCTCCAAAACAGCTGTGTTCTCACCTCAGGACCTTTGCACTTGCAGTTCCCTCTGCAAGGAACTGGAACACTCTTTTCCCAGATATCCACGTGGCTCAGCCCCTATTTCTTCAACTCTTCATTCACATGTCAGTTCAGTGAGGCCTACTCCAGCCTCTCCATTTAAAATCTACCTCAATACTTCTTTGTTCTCAACCTTTCTTAGCTGGCTTTGTTATTCTTCCATAGCACATCACTTTTTAGAATTTTGATTTATTAAGTTTATATTCTCTCTTCTCCTACTAAAATGCAAATTCCTAAAGGACAAAGGATTTTATATGTTTTGCTCAATGATATATTTTAATTTTTTCTTTTTGTTTCCATTTCTTTTTTTTTCAATCAGCAGGAAGTAGTCAGATCAATGATACATTTTCATTGCCTTAGACAGTACCTGGAATATAGACAGCACTCTATATAGTTATTGAACAAATGGAAATTGAGGTCTTGTGCTGTACACCAGGTTCTGTACTAGGCACTGGGGCCATATCAGGAGACTTAACAGAGTCTCTCCTTTCTTAGAGGTTGCTTCAGGTTCCCCAGGGTCTACCAAAGTCCACTCCACCCAAGTCTCCAGGTTGACTGAAATAGGAGAAAACACTAGATGAAAAACAGCAAGACTGGAAATGAGTAATTAGGCTTGCTTTCCCTACATACCATCTCCTGCCTAACCACTCCTATACTTTAGTCACAACTACTGGGTGTCATTTCACTGATGCTTTAGAGATTAATTTAAATGGGTGTGGTTGTTAATTGAGGTACTATGAAAAACAAACAAAGAAAAAACAACATGGCAATCTAAGAGTCACAGGATAAACCAGTGGGCATTAGGGAATCTTAAAACTTTATATCATTTTGCACATATCTATGTAAGATATATGATCATATTTAGGTACAGTTTACTACAAAGCAAATTAGCCCTTCTCATAAGTTATTTTCTTATTGAATATAATTTTTCAATGGTGTAAGTGTAAACCTTTGTTTGAAATGCATCCTTCTGTGTGTAATGAATTCCTGACCCAGTTATCAGGTGACTTACGTCTCAGGTGTGCACACTGTCCAGGTTGGGGTTTTTCCACTCATGTTGCTGGACACCACCCAGATATCTGTTTTTGAAAGTAAGCAAGCAGGGAAATCAATATTTGTAAGTAAAGGTCTTAATGTAGCTGATTTACACTTTCTCATCTCTTTCTATATATTAAGTACACTTAATATTCAAAAGAAATACTCTGTTGTGCATCATTCCAGATATTTTTAAAATCAGACAGTGTAAGTATTGTCAGAGCACAAAAAATGGTCGACATACAACTTTCTGGTCTCAAATATCAGGTGTCCCATAAATGGGATTAACAAAGGCTGAAGAATTTATCATTTAATATTCTATTCCACTTTATTTTTTTCTATCATAGTAAATATTTTATTAAAATTACCAAGTGTGGCCGGGCGCGGTGGCTCAAGCCTGTAATCCTAGCACTCTGGGAGGCCGAGGCGGGCGGATTGCTCGAGGTCAGGAGTTCGAAACCAGCCTGAGCAAGAGTGAGACCCCGTCTCTACTATAAATAGAAAGAAATTAATTGGCCAACTAATATATATATATAAAATTAGCCGGGCGTGGTGGCGCATGCCTGTAGTCCCAGCTACTCGGGAGGCTGAGGCAGAAGGATTGCTTGAGCCCAGGAGTTTGAGGTTGCTGTGAGCTAGGCTGACGCCACGGCACTCACTCTAGCCTGTGCAACAAAGCGAGACTCTGTCTCAAAAAAAAAAAAAAAATATCCAAATGGGGATTTATTTTGCAAAATCTAAAGAAATTCAACCACATGAGTACAATAACCAATTGCATCCTAACAAGTCCTAATTTCTCCTCAGATACTAATCAAACATACGAAAACAATGTACTCTTTCAAAAGGCATCCATTATTTTAAGTATTTTTGCTCTGTGACAATCTCTTGATCATTTTTTATTATTTGAAGGACTTTTTAAAAATAAGATTTGGAAAGGCATTGGTATTTTGAAATGTTGGTTAAGGTTGGCTCATTCTATCCTCAACTATAATTTCAGATATAGATAATTTCTGATAATACTTCCAAGCCAATAACATAAATATTAGTAAAGCACAGTTAGCTATCATCAGATAAGTTTTTACATTTTTTCCCAGCAATATTTATAGTTTCATATGGAAATTGTGTCTTCTTGAAGCCAGAAATGTTAAATTTCATATCTTTTATCCTATAATAAATCGATACTTCTAAATAACTACTAAATTATAGAGAGTTTTGCTGTCATTTCTTATGTTTCTAGTTTCAGTGAAAAGACTTGAGATCTAGGTTTAACTTACTACTTGTGTCCTGGAATATGTCACCTACACCATCTGAGCATCACTTTTATCATCTGTAAAATGCAGATAACAATTCCTGCCCCATCTCAGAGGATGGATGTAAAAATAAATAATAGTGAAGGCACATTGTAAACTCTAAGCAACTAGAAATGAAGTATTATTTTCTATCTGAAATACTAAGTGCTTGGATAAGCATCCCAAATTTATTATTTCAGGCTCTTAAAACCTTGGGCCTGGACTGTTACAATCAGTAAATTATGCCTCTTCCTATGATCCTTCTTCTCCATTCTGTTGCCAGAACCATTTTCTTAGGGATGGTATACTTGTTCCCTTCTCAGAAACCTCCACTGGAGTTCAGTTTCCTTAGGCTGTCATTCAAAGCTATTTTCAAGATGGTCCACATTTGTAGCTTCTTCTTCAGTACTCCTGAAGCTTGATGACTTGCTGTTTACCCTAAAACCTGTGTTTTTTCTGTCTCTGTTAATTGGTTCATGCCATTCACTTTACTGTAAATAAATGTACAGCCAACCCCTATAGTTTCTCCACTCTATTGTCCCATCTATTATTGAATATGTAACTCATTGACTTTGAGAAAAATCCTAATGCAGAATGTGATCTTTCCTCTATAGGTCCACTGCTTTTCAAAATACCAAGTTTTCGTTCCCATAATTTGCTTTTCAGAACTCATATTTTATCAGTCTAATAATGTTGGTACTAAGTTCAGGATGTTCTCAAATTGTCCTTTCTCACAGTGTAGAATCAACAGACAGACTACAAATGAAAAGAATCATGGAGCAAGATGCAAAGGCAGAGTGGAGGGGAGTGTTTTGAGATGTTGGGAAAAGAAATCACTACCAAGGACAGAGAAAGGAAAAAAATAATTTTTGGAGGAGAAAAGAAAATATATTGAACAATAAAAGAGGTACATTAAGGAAATGAAATGATTTACAGTCTTCCATTGGGTGTTGATTTTTGTTTGTTTTTAGGGTTACCCTGTGTATTCCCTGAGTATTAAATACCCTGAGTATTTAAAGGACTTTACAAAGCTAGATAAGAGGAAAGTAGACCATCAACATTTCTTGTTGCTTAATTTTGAGATATAAATTATTTGAATTCTACTCTTTCTGAGGCATTTTCTTGATTCAATAAGGATAATGAAAGTGGCCATGATTGAGTATCATTCTGGTATAACTGTTATAAGAAAACCTAAAAACATCAAGTTCATTGTCTCATTTTTAAAGAAGATATCTGATATCTGCTTTCACAACTAACTATTCACTCTTTTAATTATTTGAGCTTTTTCCACCTATTCCCAAAGTTCTACTGTTGAACATTTAAGCATTTAGTAACACTTTCTTAAGGATCAGATAAAAATATAGAATAATAATCAATTTTGCCTTTAATTTTTAAGGTTTTTTGAAGGGAGATCATAATTTTATTTATTTGTATAAATTTTAAATATAACAATAATTTAGTCCAATATAATAGAAAAATAATCATTACAATTAGCATGACTAATAATAACTACCATTTATTGAGAATCTACTATATGCCACATGCTTTAAATACATACGTGTCTGATCCTCACAGTAATCTAGAATCATCAGTATTTTAATATGCATTTTATAAATGAGAAACCTGCCTTTTAAGTGGACAGTAACTTGCTCAAGGTTACAAAGCTGATCAAGGACAAAACCAAGTTTTTAATGCAGTGCAAACACACATACACATTTTTCACTAGGACATGCTGTGCTAACCAAGCATTTTTCAAATTATCAAATATTCTCAAACTCTCCGGAGAATTTTTTTTAAATGATACAAAAAAAAAGTATAGGTTCCAAAACTTCCCTGAGTATTTAAAATTCATAGAAGTCAACCAACCTATCTTTAGCTTTCCTATCCTGAGATATGCAATGCCTTAGGATACCTCTAGGTGTCACTAGTAGGCCTAATGCACAAGCAGAGAAACCACACAGAATAATGGAGATAGAGGAAAAAGGGAGGGAGAAATAAAGGAGAGGAATACCATCACCAATTGGCTGCCAGAGATCCCCATTGGGTGAATCTACTTTTATACCTACTGCATTTCTGATAATGTGTGTGAAAGTCTCATGCATAGTAATCAAATGATAATTGAATATGGGAAGAGTTTCTCTTCCCAGAGTTTAAAAACAAACAAACAAACAAAAAACCTCTCTTTTTTTGTTAGACCTAATCTTCAATGATAAAATGCCAAAATTCCATACATGTTCTTAAGGTTAACTTTTTGCTTTAACAACCAAATGCCTGGTAGACCTGCTTAAATCTAATGAAAGTCTGGTTAAGATATGATTTTTTTGAAAAAAACTTAAAAAATTTCCACTACTATCTAAAATGTTTTAAGTTTATGAGTCCTAGCTCTTGTCAGCTGAGTCAGCATGTTTTGTATGCCATTTTTCACAGAAAGAAAGGAAAAGGGAAGAAAAAAAGAAAGAGAAAAAGGAAGGAAAGGAAGGAAGGAGGGAGAGAGGAAGTGAGAGAGAAAAGGAAGGAAACTAAAACTAAAGAACACTAGAGTATTTACAGCCAAGGAACCTTAAAAGTGAAACAGTCTATGAAAGACCAGTCCAGGGTATTACCTTTAATAAGTCATAGAGTTGAGAATGATATTTTTATTTATAATTCCAATAGTGTTCTCAACAGGGTAGTAAAATAAACAAATATGTATTAAATACCTAAGATGAACCCAGGCAGGATTAGGCTTTATAAGGATATAGAAGAAATGTGACTGGATTCCTTTGCATGGTACTGCGTTTACACACAAAATGTTAACTATTATTATGTAGTTCATATCTAGAATTCTGACGATGCCTCATATTAATAAAACTATAGCTACATCTCTCTCACAAGAAATAACTAGGAAAATAAAAGAAAAATAAATCATCAAAGTAATTTTAAATAGCACCATAACATTGCTAAACTTTGTCATGTTTTATGTGATATTAGTCCTGGTTCTTATAAACAGTTTACTAAACATCTTTTAATGTTATGAGGCATTTACTCTTTAAGATAAACTAAGGCTATTAAATGTTTCATTTTAAATTCAGTTATACCGTATCTCTAGTGTTCTTTGGAGGACTTAAAATTTTTCATCTTTAATATCCTATTGGTGCCTTTCCCTGAGGCTGCAATCCTATAAAAAAGGCAGATTAATCCAGCATATATCAAAATAAACGGCTCATTTTTCCGGAAGATGAACAGCATCTCTAAGTTAGACCAAGTACTGAAAAATACTTTCCCAATACCTATAAAATAGCAATGGCAGGCATACTTAGGAATTTGCTTTAGAGAGTGGTGGTTTTGTTTGTTAATTATTTGTTTTGTTGATTCTTTTGTTATTCTTGTTTTGGTTGCTTTTGGAATAAATAGTGACAAACAGAATGGAGAAGATTTTTTTACTATAAGAACAAGCAACAACTTGAATTTGTCTATGTAAGAGCTGCACAAGGAACCATGTTCATATAGTGTAATATAGCATAATAGCTGTATGAGGTACAAGGGAAGATTACATAAGTGTATCTCACATCTAATTTAGGTACCTCTTCCTGTACTTGCCAAAGTCTAGATTAGAATATAGACAGCTATGCTTATTTCTTAGGTATCATTTCAGAACTGTAAGCTCCTTAAGGTTGTAATGTGTACCTGATTTGTTTGCTACCTGATGTTCTTAGCTCATATCTTAA